GTAGGCACTTGGCGCGCGTCTGTTTGTTTACGAGGCCCCTTCCGGGACTCTCTCCCGCTCTCTCTCTCTCTCTCTCTCTCTCTGTCCCCCTCTCGACTGCCTGTTGCTGGGTCTCTCCACTTGGTCAGTGATCGTACAGACGACCATGCACGTCGCAGCCACTCGGTCTGTGGTAGCTACGTGATCATGTTTCTGCTCTTGCATGCCGGCTGCGTAGTCGTCGGGCATAGCTCGCCGCCACCTGAAGGATGCACGACAGGTCAGGTTTGCAATCCTTTCGCAGCTCCCACGTCTCTGTAGGGAGCTTGGGCATGCAGGCCTGGTAGTGATATCCCGGGAACTGCCAGAGGTCATTCTGGTCGATAAGCCTCGGGATCCAAGCAGTGCCTTGCCTCATTTGCCCCAGTGGAAGCCAGGCTAGCTAGCTGCTAGCTATTTATGCTATTTTCCCATCCAAGCCAACACAAGAGGCAAGCAAGCAGAAACACAGACACTGCATGTGCCACAATTAAGCTAATAGAACACTAAAGATAAATACCAGCATACCTGCTCATACAGACATGCATGCATACATATAATCATCCAGGAGGCATTGGCGCCTTTTGTGACATTGTGTCGAGGAAGTCACCTTGGTGTCTACACTCCACTGAGAAAGAAAGCACAGACCGTGCCGTTCTTGCAATCAGGTGGCCAAAGATAACATGATTCCTCAGCTCAGACAACTTACAAGTGGATGTCGCAGACAAAACATGCTCTCGAATTACCAGTGCACGGCCAAAAACCAGGACAGAAAAGACCAGTTCTGACTGGGTGTCAGAGACAACCAGCGAAACTTGCGCCATATCAGCTCGTCGCTATCAGCCTGCGAAGGAAAAAGGCGCCGATGTTGAGCTCGCAACATTAAAAAAAAACCAAGGCGACACAGCTACACGCCGGTTCGAGCTATAATAATGATGGGATCGGCTAGCTGCAAACCCGGCTAGGGGTGCAGCACGACCAGTGCTTGACAACAGGATTTCCGATTTCGACCCAGCTGCACAGCATCTTCTGAGCGAAGACGTATGCACGCGGCAATGGTGAACAGCAGCACCCACATCGTGTGATGCAAAGTATCTCTCATACATCCTTCGCTGGCGACTACCGGCACAAGACTTCGGCAGCTGTTCCATGGCTCAATTCAACATGGGTTTGCTGAAGACTTCGGTGCGCTGATCTTAGCATTAGCCGTTATGGCAGTCACACATGCGGTCCTGACAGTTATGTGGTTGCATAGATCCATTCTTTCGACTGCATCAGCAATATCGGACTCGTTGAGCAGCAGCTCATAGGCCTTTCAGAAAGGCGACTACTCTTGCTGATTTTACCCAATGGCTTAGCTGACCAGGTCGCGCTGCAGGGAAAGCACTTTAGAATCTAGCACTAGAACGTCTGAGCAGGATGATGCAAGTCCCAGATTATCCCGATCTCCCTTAATTAATTATTAATTACCGACAATTACCCTCAAACCAAAGTCCCATAGGTACATCATCGGCACGAAAGATGCTGAACTCACCTGTGGGATGTCCCTTGCTGGATGGAGGTGGTGGGTCAACCCTGCCTTGATGTAGAATGTCAAGGCGGCGCGCACATCTTTGCGGAATTCGTTCAGAAAGGCAACCTTGAAGTGCATTCTGACCTCACAGCGACCCAGCACACAAAATTTTTGCCTTCGATCACTGCGTGCGATTAAGTTTTGTCAACAGCTGCGCCTGCATGGCAGTGTGCGCCGATGTTGAGACCTAAGTTCGCACGGGCAAGGTGCAGTTATGTGCAGTCCGACGTCTCAGATGCTCGCAACACACAAAGCGTGGATCCAGCTTCTGAGTACTCATGTCGGCGATGCTCTGCACGTGCAGCCGCGACCCTAGTTGACGAAGCAACTCCGTGGACACATTCAAATCGCAGCGGTGCTGCACGCTGCTTCGACTACTTCTGCCCAGCTGCTGGAACTTTTGGTGCCCAAGGCTTGCGCAGCCGTTTCTCCTCATCTGCCTGGGACCGTCAACAGCATCCAGGCAGGGTGTGTGCAGGCACGAGACTCATCGAATCCCAGGCTCCGAAGATTTTCAGACGTGTGGCATAGAAGGACATGGCACTTTGGTAGATGAGCCGCTCGAGCTTCGGCGCCTTTTAAGCGCTTAGGGAAGCCACAAGCTTTTCCATGTCTCTCTGAAGCAATTTATGTATTGGTGTGTGTTGTGCGTGTGTGTGTGGTCTCTCGCACCGGTATCTTTGGAGAGGTTGGCGGTCTTCCTTTGCCAAATCAGGCGAAAGTCGGGGAAGTGGGGTGCAACCTTCCACGCTCAGGCATGCTGCCGCAACAATATGCCTGAACCCTATATGGGTATCCAATCGACCAACCAGGCATGGTCTGCTTTAGAAATCGCAATCGCCAAGTTCTTTTGTGAGAGATCCGTAACCTGAACCTTTAGCCACTTTAGCCCCCAAAGAGCGGACCTTCATCGGGAGATCGATTGTGCCAACCGCCACCACAAGTCCAGCAAACTCAGGCTGATTGCGGAGGAACGCGCAAGCAGCCTGAAATCAAATGAGCATGTGGGATCGGCGACAGGCTTCGAGGTTGGAATGTCGCAATGGAGTCAACTCAACTTTGCCGAAAGCCCTCAGACCTTCCAGCTCAAGAATCTGTGTTGCCTCCGGGTCGGCTGTGTTCTCGTGGAGAACGATGAAAATCAGCAATCGAAGGTCGCGCTCCTCGCCACGGGAATAGCACTTGTCGTCTGTTGCAGCTTAACAAGCCCCTCATAGTTGACCTGCGGCCTGGAGCAAGCGCTCTTTTTGTGTTTGATGGCTTTTCAATCGGCATGCAGGTTGCGCGAAGAAGTTGCTTCAAGAAATGCACAACAACCGAGTTGAAAAGGAACTATAGTTACCTGTGGCATCGACTCGACGATCCTTCGATACTCCGAGACATGTGCATTGTTCAGGGACCGGGAGTCCTGTTCCGCCCGGTGTCAACTACAGCTACAGAGATCACACCGTGCCTTTCCTGCTGCGACCGTTGTCTGATCATGTGCTGCATGCCCCCGACAAGCCCGCGACCTTCGCTTGCCGTCTCGCGTGCTGCAAGTAATGCAGCACCTGCGACTCCTCCTGCCAAAGTGCAAATGCACTGTACGCGACGCACATCGTGCCGATTGGTCCTGTTCTGGCTGACGCAGGTCCGCAGACCAGTCGATGCACAGGACGAGGACGGCAGGGATGCCGTTGCACAACTTCTCTAGCCTTTAGAAGCCACGCAGGCTCTCCAAGAAAGGATTTCGTTAGCTCGCCCTGATATCTCTCCACCTCATTTTTCTCTACAACCCCAGGCATCTCCAGGACAACAGCCAAAGAGCCAGCGCCGCTTCAGGATGCCTTCGACCCGGTAGCCCGGGGAGTCACGACCACCACGTTTTGCTGGCAGGATGCGCATGTCGTACGTAGAGGACAAGTACCTTCGGATTCATAAAGCAGTAACATGTAGAGCCGCCTGATTTCGCTACATTGTGTTCGATCCCGTCAATACTCGAAACAGACACCTAAACCGTCAGCTTTCGGCCGGATAGGTGTTTCTTGGCTATTGCCTGATCAAGGATACGGATACAGTCTGGCTTCTACATGCGGCCGCTACTGCAAAGGCTGCCGGCGCACGTCGGTGCTCAAGTCTCCTCACGTTCTAACGCTTGCTAATGCTTCACTCGTGTGTAAATACCTCTCCAAGCAGCCATCTGGAACCAGCTACAATATGGAGGTGTGGTGGCATGCCTAAGGCACCAACTTTTTGGCAACACTTGTCTTCTCAACATGCGGAAGGCGGAGGGGCTTTGTGCGCTTGACTCCGCAAGCAGCGATGGCGGCGTCATGCAATGCCTGACAGTGGATCTTGTCTTGTTGGCGAAGTGAGAACTCATCCCAGATATCCCGGTCGTGTAGACGAAGACCTATATACTGAGACGACAAACTGGCAGGATGCAGGCACATATGCAGACGTCTGATCTGCTACAAGTAGCTCTCGGTTCTCCCACCTAGCGAGCCACATCCACACGATGGTGAGTGCTGCTTGTGTCACTGGCAGTTCTGGCTCAAAGCACCCATCGCAGCCTCTATGAGCTTCGGCTGAAGGGCTGTCGCACCCAGAAGCGAGGCGAGAAGTAGGGGATGCGTCCGCACCTCCGAGCAAGTTCGATTCGCTTTACGGTTGTGCCAGGCAGGAAAACATCGCGTCTTCGTAGCGTCTGCTCCTTTGAAGGCAATCAGGGAGACTTCTGAGGTGGTTTTGCGGAGTGCTGGGTCTTGCTCTGCCTTATCCCTGGCAGATACACCAGATGTACTCCACATCGTATACAGTAACAATTGCAGGACAGCGCTACGACCGACACGACCGGGGAGTGGAACTGCCTCTGTGCTATGCTTACCTCTAAAACCACTCCCAACTAAGTGCTCTGCAACCCCTGAACATTTGTCATGACGGTTTGCTTGTCCGCATACAGCAACCGGACCACCGAGCCTCGCGGACATACTCCTCCATGTTCACTGCCGTCTCATGCCATTGTCTCGAAGACCGCGCTCAGCACTCGGCACCGTTATCTTTCAAGCCCGCTTGAAACTGGGCTTTGGGCTCTGCGCATCTTGTAGCTTAAATGATGTACGGGTCCAAGCACAGTCGAAGGGTATTCGATTGTGTCTGATGTTTCGAGTTCATCGCAGAGAACGGCACGAGATTTTCTTCTTGAATGATGTAATTCTGCATGCTTACTTATTACTTCATGAACTGCTACAGTACACCGTCTCATGTTCTTTTGGTTTGGTGACTTGTTGCCATCTGGTCCGGACAGAATTTCGCAAGCACGCACGATGTCACGTGGAACGGCAGCCAGAGCAGCTGCAGAACAAGCAAAACCCTAAACCCTACAAGTAAAATGATCTCATGCTGCGACTTGCTTTGCCGAGTCTGTGGCGGAAGCTTGGCTCCTGCAAGCTTATGGCCGTTAGCACAACGAGTGCCAATGAGTGCCAAAGCAAAATCGTACATCCCTTCCCGTCCTCCGAAAGAGCTGCCTCGCCGTCTGCGGAGCTCACTGTTTACCTTCGCAGCCATCGGCACAATGCTTGTATAGCTGTTGACAGCTTGCGAATCAGATTGGAAAGATTTTGGAAAGGATCCAGAAGTCAAGTCAGATGCGTGGCCAACAGTGTAGTCCAAACTCTAGATACGATCCCATGGAGAAGATGTCGCGGGAGCTAGGCAATCGTAGCCCGTTGGGAGCACTGAGGACCTCACAATTTCGCAGCCGTCGCGCAACCAATGACGAAGCCGGAAACGAACAGTTTCTGGTGGCAGCAACTGCGCCAGGTTCTCCGGATACCTGGGTACCACAAACCGCGAGCTGTGTCTCAGTGCAACAGACATGTTTGAACCACTGTCGAGACAAGGGTCGCATGTGGCTGCACACTCGGGTGTGACCCGTCTGTTGACTCGCTTCAGCAGCAACACCACAGAACATGCCTGAAGCTTTCGGTGCAAGGTATGAGGCGCGGGCAGCAAGAAGTTCTCGACTTCTGGATCCAAGTTCGGTCCATCTTGGGCCTTCTTGGGGCTGAGAAGATTCAGCGCCTGAAGTGCAGGAGCATCCAAGTGATGCACGTTACAGAGCTACCCTGAGACGTTGGCGATCTTTGAGAACAGCCTGCCCAACCTCGCTTTTGCAGAAAGTGAGCAGTGAGCGTCTACAGTAGCTTCTCGCAGAAGTCGTGAGCTAAGGCTGACGCTGCGTCGAATCTGCCACCGTGCCGGTGAGCGCCTCAGGAGGCTCGGGTCGAAGCTGCTCCGCAAGCCCAAGGACACGTCGGTAGTTGCATCTTTCCGCATCATGCTGAACAGTCTTCGTTCTGGGATGATGGCGGAACCGGCCACATATGGGTATGGTGACAATGTCGCACGGCTTTGCAGATCCTGATGAGCAGGGTGAAGCATCTGGGCAGAGATGCAAGGACGCCTTCTTAAACACAACGGCGGATATCGGCGGGTGGGGCTCAGTGCCAGAGGCTACAAATGCCATCCATCAACGTAGAAGAAGCAGGTCCTGGAAGAGGTCTTGGATGTCCTGGTGCGGGCTCCAAGCAGGGAGGTCGTCTGGAGCCTGCACACGCAACAATCATGGTTGCCGCCTCCGACAATAATTGACAGTCTGCATCAACCCGCAATGCCTCTGGTATACCTGCTGGTCAGCAAAACAAGTTCTGCAATCGCCTGGGGCCCGAAAAGGTCGAACCCGGAATCTTGAATCTGAAGCACTGAACACTTCGTCACGATGCCCGAAAGCAATCGTGATCTATGTGATGCACATGCGGCGACTCCGGGGCACGGACATTCGGCAAGGCCGTCAAGGCACGCCCTCGCGTGATTCCCGGATTTGGGGTTCCGCCGAAGTGAACTTGTCTAGTTGGGCTTTATGAACAGAAGTTTTGCGGAACGAATTGCCTGCTCTCAGACTGCTCTCTAAAGCAGTGCGCAAATCTGTTGGAACTCCAGCTGCACGTTGGCTTGCGGGGCATCTGACCAAAGCATAGTATAGACCAGTGCAGAACTGTCGATGGAGGCATTCATAGCAACGAACCAGTGGGGGCACAACTTGAATCGCCAAGCCGGGCCAAGCCTAGAAGCGGCCAAATTGTTCGGTCGAAAGACGTGGCTGGATTCACGAGGACGAGGCCTGTGCGACGGTGAGAAAGCTTAGGAGCTCAGGCCCTGCGAAAGTATTGTAACTATATATGTTTAACAATTAATAATGCTAGCATGACGAGCCAAGGTCAACTTCAGCTCATCAGCTGCCGAGCATGCGTGGGTTTGTGCCGGATCGAAATCAAAAGTTTCGCCAAGGTTTGAGGCTTTGCAAAGACAAGGCTCAAAGACACGCTTGCACGCGCAGCCTTTTTTAATGCTGCTCCGACAACTTGAAGCCTCGGCAAGCTTAAGATTTAGGAATGCAGCCACTTCACATTCATCTGTAACTGTGAAATCTTGATCGCCGGATGTTGCCGGTCTCTTGTGAAACAGGTATCATGCTGCAGGGCAGACTTTTTGGCAATCTCTCCCTTGCGTGCAAGACCTCTTCGATTCGACAGTGGAGTGCTGCATGTCACTAGCTCCGTGGTGAGAGGTCAAGCACGCGCTTACCAAAGTCTCCAACTACGGCTTGACCTGGGCCTCTGCGGCCTCTGTCTCTGCTTCAGGCTTTGCCGGAGCCTCGGCCTCACCCTCAGGAGGGCCTTTGTCGTCCGGAGCCTGAAAGAGTCAACCCATCAGCTGAGGATCCCCCCCTGAAACCTTTTGAGAGCGGCCTTCGACGCTTCAGCTTCTCCCTCCTTGGGGTCCTTCCACTCGGATAACATGTGAGCTTCTGTCGTGGATGACAACTTGTCAGCTCTGATTGGCGAGTTGGTTACCAGCATAGTTGCGATGCCCTCGCATCTGCCGGGCTCCTTCGCGGCGGCTGCTCCCTCCTTGGAGTCCTTGCCTGTGAAACCTGACAGGCTAACACGGGGAAATAAAACCAAACCCACACAGGAGCCAAAACGAGCACAATCGGCGCCTGCTGCAGCCAGAGGCCGTGCGGCTGCCTCGCCAAGCAGTGCGAACTGCCCCGGTAGTCCAAAGGCATGCGCATGACAAACTGGGAATAGGCTCCCGTAGTCTAGCATTGTACATGCGCATCCCCGGCATGCAAGGACCTGTCTGAAGCTCTTGCGGCCCCCAGGAGTGGCCAAGAAGGCTGCAAGGATCCCAACACCAAGCGACGAGAAGTAGAACCTGGCCGCTGTTCGGCTGACTGTCACGCTCAGCCAGCACAATGAAAGGCTTTTCAAATCCTCAGAGCCCACTCTCTCTCTCGCCCCGCGTCTGTTTGCAGGTCTGTCGAGAAGCCTAAGATGTGTGTTACTTCTTCTGCAACGAAGTTACCCGCTATGTTGGTCTGTTCAAGGTCTTCATGGCCGCAAAGGGCCGTGGCCAGGACAGGCACCGTTGACTTCACTACCGCCTTCGACGCATCACCCCGTGCTTGCCCCCAAGTCTGGCAAGCCCCCCGGAAACCGGTGTCTGTCTGTATGCCTTTCTGTCTTTGACAAACCAGGATGTTCTGCAAATCTTACAGCTTCGGAATTTCACAGCAAGGCCTGTTGGACGTATCGCACACCAAGTCCTGCCGCGTCTTGCAATCAGACAGCTGGTCCAAAATCCTGTATACCTTGGTGCCTGCACTCAGGCTCCCCTATTAGAGGATCAGACAAACGAAGCGTCGAGGCAAACGTTGATGAGAGTATGGGTCATCGGCTCCGGGTACAAGAGGGGCTGCCGTGTTGCAGACACCCCGACGACGTCCCAAGCAGTCCTTTGCTGGATGGCCTGTGTCATCGCGCCAGCGCCCATCTTTGCACACCCTCGGCATCTCAAAAGTGCAGGCTGCAGAGTGCGAGGCCCCGTGCTACAGCAGAAGTTGAGAACATCAACGTTTCAAGCTTCACGGGCACACTGTAACTTGCCCAATGGAGCACTCTGCATCTGTTACGTGTTTGTCCGTCTTTCTTTCTTTCGTTTTGGCTGGGGATCTGTCTCTGTCTCTCCTGTCGGGAGAGCGACCCCGCTGTCTGTCTCTGTCAGTGTGTGTGTGTGTGCTCGCCTGCGTGTGTTTCCGTGCATGCGCCGGTCTTATTTTCTCATTATATACATATATACGTGTGTGTGTGTGTGTGTGTTCGCCTGCGTGTGTTTCCGTGCATGCGCCGGTCTTATTTTCTCATTATATACATATACATAATATATATATATACATATACATATATATATATATACATACATACACTGCATACACACGTGAGCACACGTGCATCTCCATCTCTATCTGTTATCACATCTATCTGTGTAACTGTCTGCCCGTCTGTCTGTCTGTCCATCTACCTATCATCTATCTGTCTACACGTACATATGAGTACACAGACACACATGCTGCACACGCATCCTCTCCTTTCCGCACGCTGTAAATGCACGTGTTGCGATGGAAGCAGCCATAGTTTGGTTCAGAAAGATTCAGATCCAGGTTTTCCTGAGCCTGCACGACGTATGCAACACTTTCAGAACACTGCGTGGCTGTGTGCTGCTCACGATGACGGCACCGTGCCAGACTCTCAAAGAAGACAAATTTGATTTACTTATACTCACAAAGGTACGCATAACTAGGCCGCATACTTCAGCCTGCACCCAGGGTTACTGATTGACAAATGATGCCCCTTCGCCCTTTCGCTTCGGCCTCACTTGCCCGTGAACTTGACTCTCATCATCTCCCCGGCAAACCCCCGCAGGCCCTAACCCACAAGCCCTTTAGGCTCTGACTCTACACCCTGATTCACTGGTTAGCTTACTGTGCGATTTTTTCCGGCGACTCAATTCGGCCGGTCGCTTCTAGGAAGCTAAGCACAGACTGCAAAGCCGGAGAAGAAGCAGTCGTTGGATGTCAAGCAGTTGTGGTGGTCACAGTGAGGCAATGCTTATGTAGCGGCGATTGGCATGCATGTCTTTTTGCTTCTTTTTGGTCCACCCTCAAACATGGCCAAACTCGAGAACCTGCCACCGCCTCCCCCGGCAACAAAATGGAACCTGCCAAGGCCACAAAACAACACCAACCGAAGACTACGCCGAATTCAGCGACGGGCAGGAAACAACGTGCTGAAGTTTCATCACGGCTGTCCCGAGGGTGTCACCGTTGCAGTGTTTGAATTTGTGTTTGCCGCAGGAACCTCTGGCTCGATGTGTCGAGCTGCTGTGTCAAGGAAGCCCAGTAAGTACCCTGCCCCTGTGCCGGTAAACTATCCTTGCCGAGGTACAAGGTCTCTTGACTCGGCACTTGCCACCAGCGGGCTTCAGGGCACTGGCAGGTGCAGTCTGCCCCGTCCTCGAAAAATGCAACGAGCTATGACGGTTGCTATCGTCAGCCAGAGCATGAGGTTTAGCATTTTGTGAAGCTTGGACTATCAGGTCCTGCGCGTTGTGCTTTGTGTATGGTTCCGCGTTGACGAATGCTTCAGCTCAGCCCCTCTATTTCCTGACTTTCGGCGAACGGCCCGAAAATGGGCCTGACGACCTAGCTGCGGTTGAGCGGCATGCATCCTCTTCCGTCGGATGCCTTTTGCATCTTCGTAGGTGGCCTCATCCTTCAAGTCCGCATGCTCTTCGCAAAGGAACTCCTGCCAAGGGGCCGTTCTGTCAAATCTCTGCACCGAGCGCTGTTCTACAGGAACCGATCCACCGAGCCCTGAAATCACGAAACTCCAGGTTGACTTCTCTGCCCTCCTTCGAATTCCACATGGGCACTACGCACTCCTTGGTGCAACGAGGCATCATCGGAGTGACAAGAAGCAATGCAAACGGGGCGACACAACATCTAGAATCTAGATGCTAGGTCAAGAGGTAAGCAAGGTCTTCCTGTCCTAGCGCAGGCCGTAGGTCTACTCCGATCCTACATTGTCCTACATCTGATCCCGAAAGTTGGTCGTGGGTTTGGAAGAGTGTCCAATCCAAGCGTAGCTCAAGGACATAATCATGGATGTTGCAAGCTCTGGCCCACGGCGCGTCAAAACGGCTCTATCTAACTAGGCTCCAAGGCAAGGCAAAAAAACACTTGCTGGAAAGGATAATCTCCAAGGAACGGAGCCCGCGCGAGGATCAGAGGGGTTCGCCGGAGCCATGTCGCCTGCGACGTGTTCTAAGAGTCAAAGACGGCCTGTCAATCTAGCTTCTTACTGAACAGCCTTCAGGCTTCATGTTCATTCTACTCGTTCAGTCTTCCAGCCAGAAGCTTCAAATCAGTGTAAATGGTCACCGGGTTTTCTTTGACCTGCTCGAGTGATTCTCATCGGCAAAGCGAAGCCCCTCAATCCACCCCATGCTCCTGCTCCTCCTGCGCTGCTGCCTACAGCCACGGGCCTCGACAAGTGAATGGGAGCATGGCTGTGTGCAGGCCCATGGACAGCAGGGCAATAGTTTGGATTAACGGACCTCTATGTTTTGGTCTACACTGCAGGCCTGTGGTCTTCAATGAGGGAGTGTAGAGGTACAAGGGCACTTCCAAAATAATTGCTTGCTTCTTCACTTCCTTCGGGGTACTCAGTGTTCACCTTCGGAGTTACATGTACAGCAAGTGTATGGGATCAGACTGGGGTCGCTCGACACCCGTGTTTCACGTGCTCCCGCTGACTCAACGCTGAATCCGAAACTTCGCAGTGCCAGAACAGCCATTGAAGAGTAAAACGGCTTGATCATGATTTGCTGCCAAGAAGCATTCCGGGCACAGGGCCCATTCCGGGACCCATGGCGGGCTGCATGGCAGGATGCATGCCGGGGCCGATCCCAGGCCCCATGCCGGGACCCGTGCCCGGATGCATTCCAGGCCCCATGCCCGGGCCCAAGGGGGGACCCATGCCAGGGCCCATCCCAGGGAAACCTGCAGAAGCTCTCACTGACGCCCACAATCCTGGCTTTGAAACCGAGTCAGCCTCCAGGCCCCATGGGTGGTTGACCAAAGCCTGGTGCCATACCCATCTGTCCTATCTGTCCTGTGGCCGGAAATGTGCGGCTGGGCATGGAGCTGCAGGCTGCATTTGCGCTCTGCAACACGTCATAAATCGGTGTGTCCTGGGCTTCCCATCTGGCCGAGTGGCCCCAAGCCCGGGGCTCCAAATCCTCAAAAGCACTGGCTCAGACTCAGATTCAGTGAGTCTTTCTGGACGAATATGTGCAACCCAGCGGCCGCTGCCCAAAGAGCCCTTAAACACAACGGCACTCGTGAAGACACGAAGAAACATGCACACATTGGATTGTCTGTGCTTCCCTTCATGAGTTGTTGGCGGTCTCAGAATACATCAGCAAATGGTTGGTGGGAACGGCACCGCCGGGACAGGAATCGGGACAGTCCCTCTTTCCAGTTTCACCACGGCACAAACGGATCACCTGGATGGCCGCCCCAAGGCTGCGACATCGTCCTTGGCATCTCTGTCTGGAGTCTAGCTACCCATCTACGTAAGTAACTTTAAACCCTGACCTCGGTGTGCCAATTTCTTGTTTTGCAGGCGCTATCTCAAGAACTCCAAGGGCTGATTTCATGAATTTGAGAAATGGAGGGGCTGGGTTTCTGGGCGTGGCTAAGCGCGATTTGTTCGACTCGATGCCTGCAACTGTTTATGTGCCGTACATTTCTTAATTCGTAATTCTGATTGGCTGATCTCCGAGCCCAAGCGAACGTACCTTGAGGATAATTACCATGGATGCTGTACTCCCGGTTTCTTACTTGAAGCAAACAAAAACAATACAGTGGAATAACAACATCCATGGTACGCTCTAGTCCGGACCATACTTTGGATAAAAGCGTGCTCGCTCCAAAATTAAGAACTCCAGGGCACCCTAACCTAAAAACTAACTCTTTTTCAAGCGGCGCTGTCACTGTACCCTCATCGGAGACCCTGTTTCTCTTTCGGTTGCTTTAAGAGCTTGAAGATTGTTCAGGACCTGGGCTCGAGTTTTACGATGCTTGGAATAGACTATAGAGGATCCAACACGAACACCAAAGTGCCCGTGTGTGCCTGTGTGAACTGAGTTGAACTGTGCGTATCTATAGATGGATGGATTGATAGTTAGATACGTGCACACCGAGAGGAAGATGGTTGAATTCGAACACGTATGTACTGAACCTGTTCGTCTGCAATTCGGCAAGAAGCATTTCATCGCTGGCGCCTGCCGCCGGCTCGCTTCTCCTCAGTGAGGTCAGAGAAGGCAGCATGAAACGATGGAAGCCCGGCAGCTGCTAATCAGATCTCGAGTGTTCTGCACACATGGGCTGCATGGGGACGCGTTGACATCGGAGGCAATTTCTGGTCCAATCATGGCCAATGCCAAAAATCAGCATGCCATGATACGCCATGGCCATGCACATTCAAACCACTCTGAGTCCACAAGCACTACGCTCAAGAAGGGAATCGCTGAGAACCTGCAGCCATTGCCGACAAGGCACAGGAGTGCTGTGTGTGACTTTGCCGAATGTCCTGGGCTACGTGCATCATGCTCGATGGCTGACTCGGACTTGGATATCCAAAGCGGTGCTTGGTTGTCCAGCCAGGTCCTGTCTCCTCATGTAGCGCGAAGATGTGCGTCGGTATGAGCAAAAGCACATGGAAGACAAACCTTGCACACCCAGAGGTCGGACTCCGGTGCAAGCAAAATCACACTGCTTGTCCGGCAAACTCCGGCATTGCTCAGGGGGCGACATCAAGTCCGAGGAAGATTCCTGCTGGAGAATACCTGATGTCGGCAAGTGGGAAAAGGTAAGCAGCGTGGAGCTATAAATAAAGTAAGTGTTGTGGAGTCATCTCACCATCGCAGTTTTGGAGTCAGGTCTCTGCCAGGGCACGGAAGGAGTTCTCAGTCGTGGGGATTATTTGGCCAAGTCATGGACCGCTTGAGCCGACGTGGCACTGCCAAGCTGTGTGCATTCCTGTCTGCGTGCTCGTCCCATGGACAGGTCCTAAAAAGCAGGCTCTCTGCCAGACTCTCTGAGGCCTTTCAAGGCTTCACCGCCCATCCGCAGTGCGACGGCCAGGGAGAGCAGACCACCGAAAGACTCACCAAAGAGTACCACCTCCGGCCAAGTCGTTCATCGTTCAAGACTCCTACCAATTTCTCAGAGCGTCGAGCACGATGCCTGCCGTCCGGACTCTTGCTGGCTTCGCACCCAAGCCTTCGTCAAGAGCATTGATGGGAATGATCAGCATCAGTCCGCTTCGCCACTCCAATCATCGTTCAAGAGGGCTTGTGGCTAGCACTTTCAGAAGAATTCGCTCGCACGCACGTTGCACGGGGCCTCCAAGCGATCCACCATCTCGACAAATGGCCTGGGCTCAGGAAAGGCTTCAGGACAGCTCTGAACCTTCAACGGCCGTGCAAATGGACCAACACTTGTAGAAAGCATTTCACGTAGGTGCAAACGCACGAAACGAAGAGCAACTGAGAGCTGGAGACCATGGTCCATGCAGCATCTCCCTCAAAGAGATTCAATAAGCTGAGGACGTTCGGTTGTCAGCAGCCACCCAACAGCGCCACAACCTCTCAAGCACCATTCAAGCATGCCAGCGATCGCCTTGCATCGGAAGCGCGCTGCTGCTCTCGGTGGCACTGAGGACCATGCTCGTGGCCCGCTTCAGCTAGAGGACGAAACTGAGGAGCCTCGGTGCTGCATGTTTAGCCGCGCTGGCGAGTCCTGAATCCTGCGTAGTACTACAAAACTCGTCAATTATGAGCCGACTTGTGGCTCTGGCCGCAAACCCGCCGGAGAAGTCGATACCAGGCACGTAGAGCCTGTGTGGGCGGTGCTGGAGGGCTCATACTATGGCTAGCGTGGCCGACCGGGGCTGTGACACGATGTCCTGGCTCTGGCTGGATGCCTTATTTTCTTCTCAGAAGCCTGCTTTATCATGAGCCTCATCGGAGGCTGTCCGAGTTGACCCTGAGATGCGTGCCCTTGTGACGCGCTCGAAGTACACCGGGCCCTAGGAGCAGTGCGACAGAGTAACAGAAGCCTTCTACCACGAACGCCGGCAAAAAAGACTGGACACCGCTGCGGCCACCTGTAGTCCAGTGATATGATCAGATCGCAGATGTACGTGGACTATGTTGATGCCTTGAAGCTGCACACTCCGCCAAGACTACAGTAAGACCCGTGACTCGAGCGCCTAGACTAACATACAAGGCCCCCCTCCCCTCACCCCTAGATCCAAAATGCACAATCCCGAATCCGCAACCCCCCCCCTCCTCCCCACCACCCTTTCAAGTTGACGCCTGCTTCTCGCCTGGCTCATTCAGCGAGCCCAGGATCCTCAGCATTTCCATGCATGGGTTGTCTCCCCCGTTGTGCTTGGTTTCGTCTTGTGGGGGGTACCGAGGGTGCACTTTAGAGTGTGTTTGCTAAGTTGCTACGGCACAAGGTCCGGCTGCACCACCTCTGAAACCAGTCGACAAGTCTAAGGACTTGATCGAGTGACTCAGATGCCGTACCGCATCAGGCTTGCTTGCTCCAGTAGCTTCTTCTCTTGTGTGATTCCGTGGTATGGGCAGGTGTTGAAGCGCTCAGCTCGCGCAGTACGCTAGACTTGCCTTACGCCAGCTACCTCTGCAGGCTCACTGCAGCAACCGATGCTCGAAGCAACGACAACCGGCTGGGGGCAGCGCTCTGCAAAAAGCTCTGGTTCGGTGAAGACTGACCCTGATCCGGCTTGCAAGTGACTAAAGCCACAAATGGTGAGCCTGGATTGCTGGAAATGGCGTGTCGAAGCAAGCGCGGCCTTCTCGATTGAGCAGCGCATGCTCCTTCAGGAACACATTCCGTGCTATGCCTTCTGAAACCGCGCAGAGCGAGGCATTTGTTGTCTAAGCCCCCGGCCCAGGCATCACCTGAACTGAGACATGTACTGCCAGTATTTCGTATGAGTCACTAGAAGAGCTCTGAAGGACATCCAAGTCGCTCAACAACTTGTCCTGGACCTCCGTCTCAGCCAAAGTTTCTGAAGCCCGCAGGCAGACAGGTCTCCTGTCACGAGCTGAGCGCTTTTGTCCTTGAATGGTGCTCATGGCATGCCTACTGGCACGACGAGCGGGGCACGAACAACTTGCGGCGATCTGCCCTGATCACCCCTGCATCGTCTCACCTTCAACCCCATTCTGAGCCGGGCGCCTGCGGGCGGAAGCATGTAGCCCGCGCTGCTGCCTGGAGCAACACTACTTATGCGAAAAGCGACAAGCTGGTCATCTGAATCTACGAAGCGTAAGGCTACACAGCATCAGTCGCGAACGAACTCATCCGGCAGGACATGTTTCAAGGTTCTGGCCCACAAAATCGATGCGCACAGTCGGCTTTACAACAGGACCCAAGAAGGCAAACTTTTCAACAGCAAATCGTTCAAGGCCTGGCGAAAGCTGCCGTGGCTGCGACTGTCGCTGCAGCAGTCGATGTTGACAAGCACCTGGTACTACTAAAGAGAATAACGCTTGTTTGTCCACGGACGTTTCTTGGACTCGGTGATTGGGAAACTGTGATATCTTGCCAACTCACGGAAGGCATGTGGGACCGGTTTAGCTGGCCCCACCATTGAACGCACCCTGCTCGAGCACATGCTAGTTCATTGATTCGCGATCCACGCTCCTGAATGGGATGCTTGCCTGCGCGCGCTGTATTTCATGGCCTGCAAAGATCAAAACAGAATAAATTAGGTCCTCGGAGCCTGTGATGACACGTGGCCAGCTTGTAGAACCTTCACTTCAAACCTGAAGCCCATGTAACACTGTGTGGCGGCAGCATTTCTCTTCATCCTGGACGAGATCAGGCGTCGCTGTCGTGGAGACATGCTGCAGCGCCTGAAGAATTGCCTTGTAAGCTGCGTGCATGAGCTGTCAAAAGTGCGGCAGCAAGCAACAGATCTGCGGATGAAAGTTAAGTTCAGCCTTACAGCAAAGTGTCCCTACTGCAGCAGCGGACTGAACACTCCGGACAAGTATCTTCGCTTCAATTCTCCAGACAGAATACTTCAGCCTTGGTCCTTGTAGTGGCGCCTTCGACGAATCTTGACTCGTAGGATGCACATGTCTTCCAGAAATCATTATTTGTTCCGCTGCAGCACAGTGAAGCAGCAGATACTTATCCAGCGTCAGGATGACAGACCCCGCAATTCAAGGCCCTCCCGGACTCCCACAGCAAATGCATGTGAACCGTCCCATCTATCAAGTAAAAAACACCATCTACAGGAGCCAGGCAAACAACCTCCAACAGCAACAGTAGACAAGGACCAGGTCACCCTTCCGCCGGCGACGTGCACCCCATCAATGAAAAGCTGCGGCAGCACCTATTGCACAGGAGCACATGTACGTTACTCACAGGACTCGCTTCCGATGATGTGCCTCCTCCCCTGTGAGCTGCGCGGTTACGTTTCGGATGCCTGGGTTCGCCTTCTCGTCGCTGCAATCAACCGCCTCACGGCATCCAACAAGAAAACACGACAGTGGTTTTTGCCAATCAAACGGCTAAGCCGTCTCTCACTGAACCATCCCACGGCAGCCTTCCGTACACGTTGGATCAAACCTTGAAGATCTAAGAATGTTTGCGGCGTGCTGCGGAACAGGCCTTTAACGGAAATGACTTTGCCATGCGACACACCGAGGAAACTCATTTCCAACAAGAGCCCTATAGCAGTGTGGCAGGCCTTGAATGCCATGTCTCGACCATCCAACTCTTTGATGACCTGCAGGGAGTGCATTTGCGACCTTCGAGGACTGCGGGCACGGCCGATACAACTAATGTGAACTTTTCGACTTCCACCGAAATTACCCAAGCTCCTGAAGCCCACCTGTCGCCCCAAGCGTGTCTTCGGCTTCGCCAGAGTTCCCTCCATGAAGAGGACAACGTGAAACTCCTCCCGGCAGATCCACTGTGTGCTCAGGATAGTTCCAATATCTTTCCAAACGCTCATTCATGGGCCTCCCAACACTGATGCTCAAACACGCCGGATTTAGTCAGTGCTTAGCGGCCTTAGCGCATGTCTTGCAGGGAGTTTTGCATTTCATGCGGAACTGTCCTGCAGGATTCCCTTTGCAATATCGAGCATTGGTACCAGGTGGTCCCTGCCTCAGTAGCAAACATCCACCCCTTGAAGCTTCGTCGGCCTCCCTCCGTCATGCGGGACCTAGGTAGGCCTAGATTTCTCATGAAATCTTGTTGGCTGAAGACCGCCGGCTACATCACACCAAACTCATACTGAGCCTCGCAGATTGACGAACTGAGCCTCACAAAGGCTAAGCTGATAGGACCTGCCAGGACCTGGGACTTCCCCTGCACAAGAAGATAAGCTCCCAGCGCCCGTTCGTCGTAAATTGCAGCATGCCGCGGCCACCGTCCGGAACTCCCCAGCGGCGGACCTGTGCAGTTTCAAACAATTTCATTCTCATTCTCATGCTTTGCGGGAAGGTCTGCGCTGCTCTGGTCGAACCCGACGAGTGAAGCTGTCCTGCGTTCACGACTAATACTTGTCGTGGCATTTGAAAACGATTTCACCGTATCATGCAACCCAAATGGCGACTTTGTCGCCCGAACCTTTTTGTGGCTCCGGCATCCGAAGGCACTACATAGCCTGTAGCCACGTGGGACCCGCCCGAACCTCTGATTCTATGTACTGTGGAGTGATTCATTTAAAGCTTTCAGACATCATGGAATGGAACACACGTCAGGCAGGCCTCAAATTCCACGCGGCCTCCGTGCTGAAACTGCCTTTTGACGGCGTCGCGCACTGCCCGCTGCGTTGCAGTGTTAGAATGCACCTGATTCTTGCAGTCCAAGCTCATTCGGGAGCTGCACATGGTGTGTCACGGCCCCTTCAACTACAAAGCCTGTACATTGGCGATGACACTCAATGCTGCTGTGCAAACTGACGGCAGTGCAGGTAGCATGCAACACCTCGTTTAGGTTTGTGACAATGGTGCAAAGTTCTGGCAATTTGATGAGGCAGCTCCGTGAGGTCTGCATTCTGGATGCGTGCCCACCTTCTGCCCGTTGACGGAAAGGACTTCGTCTCCCACACGCCAGCCCGCGTTGAACGCTTCTTTCCTTTGCTGACGGAAGCCAACCCAATAAGTCTCACACTCCAGGATACCATATACGAAGCCTACACATGTACTGCATGCATCGATACATCAATCACACCTACAGTCATGCATACATACATACCTACATATATA